ATTTGTGTTTAATTGTTTGTGTTTGTAGATCCATTATTAAAGGAATTGTTTCTCACATTTGAGAAATCTGTAGGCACTCTACATTTACTAGATCTTGACCTTAAGGAATATTTTCCTGCTCTAAGAAATTTGATTTGAAATAAATAAGAAAAAAACCTGTGCACTTACATACATATAATCATGATAATAGACCCCAGAAATGATCGCACGAAAAAAAAAAGCGGGGGGGGGGGGTCGTTTGGGCGGCATCCGTTTTGCAACTGGTTTGATAATAATGAGGTATTTTTGAAATTTACCAATCTACTGACTTATTTTAACTCCTTATAAAGTATAAGGATATGTGGAACAATTGTCAAATTTTAAAAACAAAAATAAAAAAAGAATGTTCCATTGAATCATCTACCGTTTTAGTGTCAGCTTGAAGTGGGGCATCCAGCAGTAGTATTGACAACATTTTCCTCATTAAGTAGTAAATTTAAAGATTTCTATAACTTTTTTTTCTATTTCAGTTTTTACATTTTTTTTAAAAATTTAAGTCTAAACTACGGAAGCCCAAGAGGGACATTGACTTACTCGTTATGACTTATTTGTTGTAAATTATTTGTTGCTGGTTATAACCAAGTGTAACTTAGCTATGGAGAACGTGTGGCATGGCTTACGTGTATTATTAAAATGATATATTTAGTCCTAGTTAAACTGTGGTTTTTGATTGATTAATTGTAGTTTAATGTCCTGTACAGTTGTGGCTACTAAATTTTTATCAGTTAATATCTTGTAGCTTTGTTGTTACAACTTAATTTTTATTTGTTAATTATCATTTGTTATTTCTTGGTACTTAATAGTTATTTCTTAATTCTTATTTGTAACTTCCAGTTTGCATAATGATTGAATACATGAACTGAGGCGCCGCCCGTGAATATAATACATTCTCGATCACAATATTTAATTCAGTCTGAAGAGTAATTACACAGAAAAGAGAAATTATTGAACTTAACTTTTTAAAGATCTTTTCTTTGCACGTTTACATAAATTTATCAATTTCCGCGGAATATTTGCGACTATTGTGACGCAATATTAGATAGGTATTCGACGTAACTGATACATCAATGGAAACTTGGATTCAATCTGAATAATAAAGAAAATTTTAAACTAAATATTATGTTTGGAGGTGAAAATTAATTCCGTTTTTGAAAATAAACCAATTATTTTTGGTTGAATGATATTCTTTAGCGTATCAGTTCTAAATATCTCACAGGGGTTCTGATAGTAAGATGTTTAGCCGATTTCCCGATGGTACGGGAGATAACTCTTGCATCACAGAATTTCATAAAAATGACTGTCTATTTTGCAAGAAAACTAATATTGAAAAAATGTTTCCCGCTGATTTTATTTTTCAAATTGAAAGATGAAATGTTTCTTGATTTAGTTTGGAGTGAATTATACATCTGTTGAAAATGTATTAGAATTTACAGTTCTTCGTTTCCGACCTACATTCAGTGGTTTATATAGGGGAATTAAAAACCACAAAACAAAACGATATTTTAGTAAATAAGCTATTTTCAAACAAATCTTTACTTACAGTATCCCATAATATGGACTACATTAATATCGTTTTCATTAAAATATCAAATATTCGTCACATTCGATTTGCCGCCTATTAATACGATACTGCCTGGTTTACATATTTATTATCAGTAAAACAAAAGTTACATATACGAAAATTTTCCAGAATTTTAAGAGTGCGCAAACAGACCTACTGGTTGTCTTATAAATCATCATAGTATTCTGATGATGAAAAATCTGCATTTAAGAATTCATTTTTAAAGGGACATTTCACAATTGATAGGCATACAAAATTAGGTTTTTGTTGGTTAAATGCTTACAAAGTCATAAATCTCATCTACGGCTACTTGGTACATCCATCGTATATAATGTTATATATGATATTTTTAATATCAAAATATAGAGCAATGTATGTTAATGTACATGTACTGCACTGTGTCACTTTTACAATAATTTCTACCTCGTTCTATCAGACGGTTTCTTTTTTTTAAGATTTGCATCTTCATATGAAAAAATCCGCTTCTGGAATTCTAAAACACCAAGGATCGGAAAACATTCCCACGTGTACCAGACATTTATGACACTTTTTTTCTGTAGGAGTATTTTCAATTTCAAAACATTTGAGTCCAGAGCACTGCCTCGAAGGCAGCTGCCATTTTTCGACAAGTTAAACAAGTTAAAGCAAATACAACAAAACTGGAGAAAAAGTAGTAAAAAGTTATTAAAGATATAATGATAAGATCATTCGAACTTTGGAATACTTAATATTTTTTTTTAAGATTTTATATCTTATATACCGATTTACATGTATAATTATTGCAATTTATTCTGCCAAGCCTCCTCCTTAAGCATTTTTAGTCACAAAATATTAAAATCAGCTAATTTTGCTCTTTCTAATCTTTGTTTACTGGGGTTTTTTTTTGTATCTCTAAATGCATGTTTTCCATTCGAATGAAAACTAGGAAATTTACTCCCTTTTATCAATAAGATGATCCTTTTTTATGTCATACTATAGACCAGTTTCGTTGATGTGTTGGAAAAACCATGGAACGAGTTGTACTTAAGTATATTTAAGAAATAATTCCCGAATCGTAGGAATTATGAAAGAATATGCCCCGATAGTCAAGAGATTTTGTTGGCAAATAAAAACCGAACCCGAAGACTGAGGGTTGTGTTCTCAAACAAAATAGTTAACTATGATTTTTCTATAGTTAACTATAGTGATAACTTTGAAACTATCAAAACTATCGTTAACTATAGTGATAACATTGAACCTTTGATTTACTATTGTGATAACTTTGAAAACTTTGTTTAACTATAGTGATCACCATGACACTATAGTGATAACTATGAAAAATTTGAAATACTATAGTGATCACTATAAATACTTTGATTTACTACAGTGATAACTTTGAAAACTTTGATTTACTATAGTGATATCTCTGGCACTATAGTAATCGCTTTTAAAACTTTGAATTACTATAGTTATAACTTTGAAACGTTGCTTTACTATCGTAAATTATAATAACCTATAGTAACTATAGGTCACTATAGTTTTTGTGTTCCTCCCACGAAGGAATTTTTTTTCTGATACGGCGAATATTTAAGCTTCTATATAGAGAAATGCAGAATCTGGATTTGGACGTCATCATGTGTATTATGACGTCACAATTGAATGCTATCCTCGTTCATTTGTATCTCAAAGATTAGACCAAAAAAATAATAGTCTTCTTTCCTGCTTCCCGACCGACCCTATTTTTTTTGCACCCGACCCTAAAGTTTTGTTGTTTTATTTTTTAGTTTTGGAAAAAATCGGAAATTTCAGCAATTTCATATTCCAAAACTGAAAAAATATATATTCAAGGGGTATTTCATGAAATTGTATGTTTTAAATTTATGGACTTTCTTAAAATACCACTTGAGTTGTGCATCAAAAGACACTAGATTTAATTTCAAAAGATGATATTGACCTATGACATGTTTAATTTGGTTTTGTATTAGTTCATGTCCAAAAATTACAGTTGGAAAAAAATAAAATAATTTTCCTACCTACCTACCCTATTTTTTTCAGGTTGGTAGCAGGAAACAAGACTATTAATTTTTTGGCCTTAGAAAAAGTACGATATAATCCGAACTCAAAATAATTTTTCCATCCAATTTGTGTCACAGTCAAAAAATACCTCTATCCTTTTCCTAGTGAAGACAAAATTAGAGGAAACCTAATTAAATTATCGATAATTTCTTGATGATATTAATTTGTATTTTTTTAGGGAATAATGGCCGCGGCATCACTATGATCATTGCCATAACTGTAGTAGAATTATAATTCTTTTCATGAAAACAATCTTTTTTACGAACATCAGGCTTGTGAATTATGTTCCTAACAATATGGTTCCTTTATGTATACTATTTGCTGATGATTATTCTTAGCAGAATTCATCTCAATTTACAATTTAATTGCAATAAAATCAGAAGAATAAAAATCATTTAAAAAATCATTTTCAGTCATCATTCACTTCGCCTGGGTCAATATTGATTTCTGAGAGAGAGAGAGAGAGAGAAACAATAAAGCGGTATAGGAGATGCGGGAGAGGCTACTGTGTATGATTTTAATTTTATAAGAAAAAAAAGAAACTGACTAAATATTAATCAAATCTGACACAAATAGATAAATACTAATAATTATGATTACGATCGTACATTGTACCAATGAAATATGCCAATGAAATATATTGCAGAATCTGACACCTCTGTTTCATATTTGGATATTTTACTAGAAAAAGATGTAAATAGTGATCTAGCAACCAAGCTTTATGATAAACGTGATGACTTCAACTTTACAATCATCAACTTCCCTTACTTATGTAGCAATATACCTTCTTCACCCGTCAATAATTTACCTCAATTTAGAAATTGCTTATATTATGTAGAACGTGCTCTTGCGTATCGAATCAACTGAGAGATATAAACCATCCCTCAATATAATCATTCCATAATATCTAAATATGAAACAGAGGTGTCAGAATCTGTGGTATCTTTTATTACACCTCTGATGTTTTGGAGGTCCGTGTTTAATCTGCTCCTATTTTGTATTGCTTAATGGACTTTTGAGCTTGAATACTGTTCCTTATCTCCATATATTTCATTATTTCAAGCTCACTGGGATATATATCGAGTTGACATATGAATAAAAGTAACTATTGTTAATTTATAATACGTCGTCGATATATCGAGATGTCGAGTTGAAGGCCACAACAAGTGTTTTCTTCTTCTCATGTAGAAGTTTTTAAATAAATTCTGCTTCACATGAATTCAAACATTGGACTGCTTATTAAGGCAGTGCAATTGGTAACCATGGGAATTTCAACAGATTGTTGGAAGACCTGATCTCCAAATACTACATAGATATTGTCAGTTAGAAAATCAATTAAACCAGCTTCAAATGATTCTTTATTTTTATTGAATCAATTCAGTATATATCATGCATTTTTGTCTTTCTGTAGAAGAATAGTGTTCATATGTCAACGGAAAAGGCAAATGCATTTCTTTCTCCTAAAGAAGCAAGGGACACAGATTCCAATTCGGCGCCCTCTGAGCCTACATTGTCCTGTGCAATCCAAAAAATTACAGTTTCTTGAACATCCACGTTGACTGACAACAGGATCAACGATTCCCAAAGAGAGAAAACACAACAGAAGAAGCAGGACACATGACTTCATCTGAAATACACCATACAAGGATATCTTATAAAGTTTACCTTATATCATCTATCATGTATAAAAAAGTATCATACTTGGAGATAAAGATTTGATTTTTTCTTCCATAATGAAGTATTAAGAATTAAGATTATTTTACATTCTATTGATTTGTATTTTTCTAATTTCAAGTTTAGTTTGTCTTCAATAAAAAGGATGACACAATGTTGCAAAATATGATGTAATTGTTATAACCTCTGCAAAATACGTCTTGCACAAAATGTCAAAAGTAATTATTCATGAAACATCTGTAGACATAGTTTATTTTGAAATCAGACCAAACCTTTTTTTTTTTATTCTGAATTCAAAATGAATATCTAATACACATCAGAGAAGGTTTATAGTTTCGCTAAGCGATCCTCAATTCAATTCCTAATTACAGTAAAATTATAACATTAAAGATGGAAGCTGAATTTTGCAGAAAAAAAGATCAAGGTTGTTATATACAAGATTTTCAGTGTTTATTAAGTATTCGTCAAAAATAAAAATCAACGAATTGACTTTTGTTTCTATTATAAAAAAAAATAGGGAAAAATGTTTTCAAACGGAATTCCATACTTCTGTTTGACAGCTTCAATTCAATTAATTTCAGAAGAGCAGTTAGGAAGTAAAAGGAAATATATCGGTTCTTATACAATTCTTAAAACAATACAGAGAAAGAAACTGATTTTTTTTTCTTATACTTATGAAAAATGTTTTACGAGTGTTTAAAAATGTGGATTTACAATTTTAGAATGGCGACCTATTTTGCATCCTTGTTACGCAGAAAGTATTAATCAAAAGCCCACTATATCATAAAAAAGTTTTCCTCTGACTAAATATCGCCATTTAGATGTATATTTATTTTCATTCATTCGATGACTGGATATATTTCACTAAACTTAAAATAACAGAGTCCAAAGAGTCTACTACTTCTTAATCGTTTTCAAATGTTAAACAGAATTGGCAAACTAATGCCTAAAATATGGCAAGATGCAATATTAAGCTGATAGGGTGTTTATATGTTCCTTAATTACTTAGGAGCGTTGTCTATGTATGGTCCATTTATAATCTAGCTACATATTGAAATTGTTCTTCTTCTAATCTTTAATCTTTAATCTTTAATGAAATAAACATTTGGTGATTGGATGGCCGAAAAACATAATATTAAAATTAAAGTCAAAAGTTCTATGTATTATCTTATCTGCTAAGAGAACCTTTTCACTACTAGATAATTAAATTTAATTCATCATCAAATAAAAATCCTTACCTTTAAGTTGAAGTTGATTTCAGATGAAAATGACAAAACAAAGAAATTTTCCTTACAACACAGACAGTGTTTTCCCCTTTTTATGTACGTTCCAGAGTTTTCATTGGCTAGGAAAATTAGACTGATTGCATAACATCGGGAAAAAAAACTTTTTGGGGTGTTAAACTCCTTATGAATCATCATTTTATTTTCCTAATCAACAATTCTAATTCTAGTTAATAAAGAAAAATCTTTGGGTTTTTGTTACTACTATTATTTTCTCCTTTTTCGTTTTTAATATTTCTTAGAGTTGTTTTAATTAGGTTTTTTGTATTTCTTGTTCTAGCAATTAAAATACATAATTTTTAATAAATGCGATGTGACTTTCCTGGTTTACCTTTTAAATAATTGGGTTTTTCCTTCAATTTTATCTCTGTTGAATTTATAAACTTTTTTCTTTCAAAATGAGAGGCAAAATGAAGAAAAGAAATCAACTTATCATATTTATAAGAAATAATATATCTTTATTTATAGTATACTTGGATTAAAAATAACGTATTTGACAAAACATCTTTGCTCTCATCAGTTATGTTTTTGGTAATGAAAATAAACATTGAAATTGACTTAATTCTTTAAACCATTCTCTATTTTTTTTGTCATTGATCAGGGGTGTATAAATCAAAACTTGTCTTGTTATTTTCATCTTAGAAATACGATAATCAAATTAAAAATACAAAGTGATTTTGAAAAAAAAAGAATATCATAAAATGCACGATTATAATTTTGTCTCACTCGTGTCAACGTTTTGCCCCAGTCATTCGATACGCAAGAGCATGCTCTACGTATGAACAATTTCTAAAACGAAGCAAGATATTGACAAACAAGTTGATGATACAAGGATATCAACAGTCACGTTTGACTCAACAACAGTCTCGTTTGACTCATAATCATTTTTGCAAGTTTTATGGTCGATACAATGACCTTGTCAGAAAATATAACCTGTCATTTAGTCAAATACTGACTGACTTTTTTCATACTAATTGTTAAGCCATTATTTACACAATGAATTTTCTACGGATTTTTCTGATTTCCCGGAGACAAGGCGGGTGAGACCGGTCGGCAGGGGATGCTCACTCTTCCATGGCACCTGATCCCGCCTCTGATGTTTTTGGAAGTCTGTGTTTTCTCTGCTCACGTTTTATATTGTCTAAATGAGTTTGAATACTGTTTGTTATCTCCATATTTCATATAAAAGAGATTGCAGCCCATGGCTCAACTGGCAAGAGAAAACCTTGTTATTTCTTCTTCCAGGTACAAGAAATATTACGACAAGAAACCTATAAATGTTCTTGTGTTCATGTGTGGAAGACACATCACAGGAAGGGCAGCTAGATGACTACCCACAGTAGATCCTAAGCAGTGTTCAGAACTTAATATTAACGGATTGATCGACCGAGGAGAGGAATAGGTTGATGAATATTACATCCGAGTGCCAGTGGCACACCCAACTCGGAAGAACTAATATTTTAGAACATGACACAGATTGTCACAGATAGTCGAGGGATTTCAAACTTTCTTAATATTTCTAAGTTTAAATATAAGCCAAAAACTTTGTCCAGGGGTATGGACGGATTAAGTAACGAGAGAGAGAGAGAGAGAGAGAGAGAGAGAGAGAGATTCTAATGACTTTGTATTCAGAAAATGCGCCAAATATTATGCATGTAATTATATAAACGAATTAAACCTAAAGTCATCGTGGAAAAAAAGTGTACACTATGTCCTTTTATTCTCTAAAAATAGCTTCAATTTCAAAACTAATAAAGTTTGATTCACTCTCCCTCTCAATTGTGTAACGTTTTCTCTACTAGTTCGCAATGTAGAAGAGGTAGAGGTAGGGTTTGTCTTGTTCGTGATATTAAATTTCTCCATGTCTGTCTTTTCTTCAAAGTAGTATCCTCCGTGGAAGTCTTCTCTTCCAACGAGCGACTTAAACAGGGGAATTCATCGGGCCTCTGGTTTATGTGTGTGTGTGTGTGTGTGTATGTGTGTGTGTGTGTGTGTGTGTGTGTGTGTGTGTGTTTTGGGCTCTGTTGCCTTCTTTAGCCATCTTTACCAGTGTGTACATACATGTACCTCCGTTTTTGTAGGAGCAGACGATAATATAAACATGTCATCGATATCAAACGAAATAATTGTGATCATATCGATCAAAATATAAGAAAAAAATAGTTATAACAGGAAGTTGAATCCTATATTAATATGATTTAGATTTTCATTATTTTATTTCTTTGTTTCTCCATCAAAACTTGTGTATGTTTACATTAAAATGAAGTGACTTTATTGTCATGGCAACAGTGTAATTAAGCAGATTACGATATGCTTAGCTAAGAATCACTAAGCATTATGCTCAGAAGTTTTATGCAACGGAATCTAAGCATCTTACTTAGCTAAGAATGTGCTTAAGAAATTTAAGTATATACTTAAGAAAATTCTAGAATTTATGCATACGAATCCAGATAATGTACAAATTTAATTACAATAAATAAACGAATGTTCAAGATCCGTTGATGTTTATCCTAATGGGTTTTTGTCCTGTTGCCTTCCACTCCATAGGCTAGAGGAAGAACTCTGGGACAGAAGGGTGGCTTCTCTATTACACATCATTATTGGAAGGCGGACTCACTTCAGACACTTCGTGGCCTCACTTCTATACACGGGTTTGGAGCTATGGATGGAAGGAACCTGCTCAAACATACACATACAAGTTTTACTTACATGCTCTAGTGCTTAACACAAATACCCAATACACTCATTATCAAATTTATAGATTATGAACACGTCTTAGATAGGACTCAATTACGCACGTTGTTTAAACTACACAAAATTCAAATAGAAATGCAATATTGTGAATTGCTACTTTACAGACAAACTATTATGAAGGAAAATGTGCACCATACTTTGAGATATTCAAATACGTGTTGCTATTTATGGTAATCAAATTAAACAAAACGAGCATGCTAAAAACTGATGAGAAATGCGTGGACTGGGTGTTGTAGGAAAAATGAATGATACATAGAATTTTACTTCAGTAAAATTATAAATATAAACCTTAAAAGCTGGACCATTAGACTATTAAAAAATAGAATACCAGAGTAAGCCCTGCAAGTAATATTCGATAACTATTACTGCTGGATACAAAACATATAAAACATGTGAGAGGGGTAAAGCGTCCTCAATTCTGGACTGCCATGTCCAAAAATAACTTGCACAAACTGGTGGATTATGAGGTCCATTGAATTAAGGTTCAGTGAAGGATATTTAAAATGATAACATGTTTAAAAAAAAGGGGTTGCCCACGGGATATTAACATAAATTTAAAATGCATGTACAAAAGTATGACAAGGTAATTTTAATCTGACACTGATACAAGACAAAAACCGTTCAAATCCATTTTCTTTGGAAGGAACAGTCAACACAGAGGTGAGTAATATGTTAAAATTAAAAAATATTAGACCATCTGAGCCTCCGTTTTGTTCAACAATAGTTATTGTTTCAAAGAGGGATGGTACCAATCGACTTTGTATTATCTTTCGGCAAGTAAACAGACGCGGAGCCAATACCAGATGCAGAGGAAATGTATGCAAAATTTACAGGGCATAAATATTTCTCAAAAATTGACTTATCAAAGGGTTATTTGCAAACAAAACTGACAGACATCTTAACCAAAACAGCTTTGAGAACAAGTAAAGCGTTATTTCAATTTCGAGTTATGCACTTTGGCTTAGCTACAGCACGAGTTACTTTTTCCCGATTGATGCGGGAAGTTTTAAGTGACATGAAAAATGTTGACAATTTTATTGACATTTAAAATTATTTTCACGATCTCAGAGTACTTGACGAGCTTTTCTAGCGTTTACAAAGGGCATGTTTAACAGCTAAACAGGTAAGTGCTTACTTGCTCATCCAAGTTTGAATTGTCTAGCTCATGTGATTGACAATGAGCAATTGAGAGTCTTTGAATTCGTCACTAACCCATTCTCCTATTCTGAAATTACCAAACATGAAGAAGCCTTTTATACTTCAGACTGATGCATCTGAGGTTTCAGAGCTGTGTTGATCCAGAGAGAAGAAGATCAAAAGTTACCAGTGGCATACGCAAGTAGGTGGTTGAAAGAGTGTGAAAGTGATTACGCCACATTAGGGAAAGAATGTTTGGCCATTGTTTTGGCCATTCAGAAATTGCAAAAGTATCTATAGGGTCAAGGTTGCTCTAGAGACTGGTCCACTTTAATATCTAAACCAGTCAAAGATCACCAATCCTAGATTGATGCGCTGGGCACCCAGTCTCCAGCCATATAGATTTAGAATCCAAGTCATCAAGGAAAAAGAAAATGTACGAGCCGATTACCTAAGTCGATTATAAATTTGTGTAAATAGTTTTTCATTTGTAAAACTTTAGTTTTGTTTTCTCCTTTTTAGATTTTTATGTGTTTTAAAGTATTGCGCACTTTTGATAAATAGGAGGTAGTTGTCAAATTGAAATCTACATGTTCGTAATTGAACAATTGTGCAATTTGTATTCACCTATGGTGAGCTTCCACTTTTCATCATGTAAGGAGGGGTTAAATTTTTCTGCATTGAGAAAAAAAGAGACCCACAAATTCATGTTTACCTCTAAAATTTTATATAAACCATCATGTTTCTCCTTAAAACCACAAAATCAGATGCCCTCGAACAAATTTTTGTTGTTATTTTTGATACATTTATATTTTTTTAATGAAGACTTGGACGAGAGACTAATGTGATTTAACATTTTTATACCATTTATTTTTTTTTTCGTTTTGCTATGAGCATACATCTAATCTCTAACACATGTTTTTTTTTCATACATGAAGTAAGAAGAGAGTAGATACGATTTTTTTTTAAACTTTATCCGACAAAATGAAGAAGGAATAAATACATGAACAAATACAAATACAATAAACTTTTTATTTGGTAGAAAATCAACTGTTTTATACTGAAATCCCATGCGATCGAACAGATTGTACAAGTTTATTTTGAATTACGT